TTGGACGGCGTAAGACCTTGCATGATCAGGGCAACATCAGTGACAGGTTGCACTTCGTTGATATGATGGATATCCGGGGCATCTTCACTGATTTGTTGATACTTGTATGGATCCAGGGCACCAAGGATACCCAGGAGCTTGATGGTTTCCTTCCGGAGAGACCCAGTCTGCTCCGTCTTTATGATATTAATAAGGACAGCAAGAAGATGGGGGTATTCCAGGTATGGGTCTATAACGTAGCCAGAGTTGCCGGCCAACTGACCAAGGGTACGCAGTGCCGATTCTCGTTTTGCGTGTGAGGAAAGGTCCTGGAGCGCGTCCAAAACAATAGGCATGAGTCGCGGTAAATAATGTGTCATCTCACCTCCCCCGACGTTTGCCAATTCCCCAACCGCTTTCAATGTAGTTGATGCAACTCCCGGGTTGGCATCTGTTGCCTTTGGGAGCAAAGTCGTGACCATAGGGTCGACGTAAGACTTAATCAACTTCGTCGCATTTGAGACAAACAGGCTGATGAGCAGGGCACTCTCTTCCTTTTGGCGAGCCGTACTGGCAAACCCAAGGCCGGTCAAGAGGTTGACAAGCAATTTCCGCAGCGGCGGGAAAACATAAGCCGGGTTGACACTGGAAAGACGTCCAATAATACAAATCGCAGCTTCTCTGACTGAGAATACCTCGTCATTGACAGCCAAGAAGAGACATCGGATGTTTTCAGGTCTTGCCAAATGACGGTCAAACTTCCGGTCCAAAGACCACAAGACAGTGCGTCGAATTTCTGGGTCCGGATCCCCAATGCCGACAGTTAGAAGTTTGTCAATTACTTCACTAACAACCTGAATTGAATGGCTGCTAGTTTGGTTGATAATAGGGTCGTGGACGAATAGTTGGCAGCAAGTGAGCGCAGAAGCTTTGCGGATTTCAGGATTGTCATTCTCGACGTAATTTATGGCAACGTCCCGTACAAATTCGTTCAGGATGTGACCAGAGAAATCAAAGCTCCCTAGGGTATGAAGGGCAAGGGCAATTTCGGCGTCCGAATGAAGCTCTTGTGGGGAAAAGTCTTTCGCGAACGATGGCATGGGAGGGAGTCGGTTTTCAGGGCATCCAAGAGGCCGAAAAGGCGTTCCGTAAAGAATGATACTTAACATATCTAGGAGCTTCTCTTGGATTGTAGGCTTGATGGGTGGGATGTAATGGGCCATGTCAACAAGTGCTTGTGTAAGCGACTCACTGAGCCCGCACGCAAAGATGGGGTCGAGCAATGCTTCCATGTACTTGCTAAGCGTTTGCCCGACAGCCAAAGACAGCATGCTGATGCATTCAAACATCGGAGCTTCATTGACCGAGGCTCGGCTCCGTGCTTTCATTGCTAATCCCTCTCGAATGTATATGATGATCCCGTCGAGATACTGCGCCATTGCCCCACCAACCGCGTTGGCAATCTTTCCGATTGCAATAAATGCCGAATTCCGTTCCTTGTCTCTCTTGAGCTGAGCCTGCAGGTATATCATGAATCGATGGAGGTAAATCTCGGTAAAGTCAAGGGGAGCATAAGATGCGAGGATGGGTATCGTCAAGACGACTTGCGTGCGGATTTTAGGATCACGGTGGTCTTTGAGACGGAGGACGATTTCGCATGCGTTCCGGTAGTGTTCGTTCATGAACATAGCACCCTTTAACAGAAGTTCCTTGAGCACCAGAAGTGATCCATGAATCCAGTCTACATTGCTCGACTTCAATCCCAGCAGCGCCTCTTCATAGATTCGTGCAAACCACAGTTGCCGAACCTGGCTATCTCGAGCGGCTATGATCTCGAAACATTCGCTGACTGCATCCGACGCCGACTCTCGGATGAGCACCTTGGGATCCCGCAAAGCGACCCATATAAGCTCGAAGATCTGCGGGATGAAGCCATATAGGAGAGTAGGTGAGCCTTTGGCCAGTTCGCGGAGGACAAGGACCGCCGCGAAACGCCTGCTTTCCTGTCGTTCGGACTGCAGCCACTCCAGAGCCGACTGTACCTCACTCTCGACCAATTCCGCTGTGAGGGCACCACCGGGTTTGGCCAAGTGGCCCAGTGCCCTTGCCGCATACGCCAACACCAGGGTATCATTACTTCGGAGCGCGCTGCGGAGGTAACTGGCAAAACGAGTGGTTTTCTGGGCTGAATCGACTCCATCAAAATCGACTAGGTGGTCCAAAGCGAGCAAACCGCCGATTCTTTCGTTGGCATCGCTACCGGTTACGACGAGCTGCGCGATACGTTGGCTGACTGCGTTGTAGAACTCGAGGAACTTTTCCGGCGGCCAATCTGTGAGATGACGAACCAAGTGTCAGCAGTGCGACGAGCGGATAAAGCCACGACTAGCCTGCGAGGGTGATAGAATAGGTACCTCTTGAAATGGCAATGACATTATCGTATAAATCGTAGGCAGCTCGCGCCCGTACTTCTTCGTTCTTGGATTTTAGGTCGAAGAACAGCCGATGGGTGACGTCCGTGATAGGACCTGCTTGCGCCATGTTTGCGGACCACCCCCCGGGATGGACATTTGAAATTCAAGGTCTCGGGGCAAGTTGGGGGTGAAAGACACAAAAGTCGTTATGTATATGGGGGGAGAAGGAGGTGGGAGGAGATGGTTAAGCTTAATCGGGTTGCCAGAGGTTGAGAGTGAAAGGTGAGAGTCCACTTCCGCCGGTTGAGAGTGCACGGGCCAGTGAGTGATATTCCGGCCTGGGGCATCGTTCACTATGCAGAGTACATTAGGACGAAAGACGAAAATTTCATATGCAAATAAATTTTGATATAATATTTAAGCTTTTAGGTCCTTTCTAGTTCTCGAACATCAGTGCTATAGATCACTAAGTACGAGTATGTTGGAAATATATAGCTGCGAGTACCCGTTGGGATGATGATAACGAGGTGGGCATACGCTAGGATTATAATCAATTTGAACTACCGCCCTCCAACAAGGCTGGTTTGTATTTAAAGAAGCACTTATTAACGTCCGCTGGACTGGCTGCTTGGTGCCATATTCCGCTCCTATACTCTGGATTGCTCAAAACGGATGTGCTTTGGACACGGAGCATGAAATACTAGATAGATCAAAGAAGCTTATTTATCTTATTTATGGATATGGCCCGAGCAATTCTGAAATTGTATCAGATTGGTTCAATACATCGAGTATATGCCACAAAGAAGCATAGAATGCATCGAGTCTATGCAAGATGGACGTATAGTCAGAGTACTACTCTGAGCAAAGTAGACAGGACCTTGATAACTAACTGTACTGGCATACCTAATTGACAACAATTATTGCGATATAAGTCCCATAGAAATGCCAACTGTTCATTTGTCATTCATGGCGAGCTGAACTGAAATTTGTAATCATTTGAGAGATAGCCGAATGATAGCGCCAGCGCGGGGGAGGGGTTGGAGTATATAACGAGCAAACTCCCTCTGCCTGCAACATTCTACAACATATACACACCATTCCCATCAATTACTCTTTGTGTTCTCTATACAGCACCAATTGAACAATATAAATCACAATGCCCAAGGTTCTGCTCACTGGTATGTTTTGAGCCGTATTTGCAATCGCTTTTAACTCCGATGCTAATATCCGTCCAGGTGGCAGTGGCTTCATTGCCGCTCATATTGTTGATATCTTGCTGCAACATGGGTATTCCTTGACTGATTTTACACCAGACCAATCGTTCCTCGCAACTAATACACGGATATCCCAGATTCGACACCGTCGTCACGGTCCGTTCCGATGAGAAGGGTCAGAAGATCCTTGAAAACCACCCCAACCTCCCCAAGGAGAAGCTGTCATATGTCATTGTCAAGGATGTCGCTGAAGACGGTGCATTTGACGAGGTATATATCCATGTATCACCCCAATATATACCATTTTCATGGCTGACCCAGATTAATAGGCTGTTAAATCCAACCCGCCATTCGACTATGTCCTCCACACAGCATCTCCTTTTCACTTCAATGTCCAGGACCCCGTCAAGGACTTCTTGGACCCCGCCATCAAGGGTACGACTGGAATCTTGAAGGCGATCAAGGCCTACGCCCCTACTGTGAAGAGGGTTGTCGTCACTTCGTCTTTCGCCTCCATTGTCAACTCTGAGCAACATCCCCCAGTCTACAGTGAAGAGCATTGGAACCCTGTCACTTGGGAGCAGGCCTTGGACCATTCTAAGGTTTACCGGGGTAGCAAGGTAAGTCAACGCACCCGTGTTGCATTGAACCAAGACTAACTGGGCCTAGACATTTGCGGAGAAGGCTGCATGGGACTTTGTTGAAAACGAAAAGCCCAACTTCGACATCGCTACGGTCAACCCTCCCCTTGTCTTCGGACCTATCGTGAACTACTTGAACTCCCTCGACGCGATCAACACATCCAACAAGCGGTTCAGGGACTTTGTCCAGGGTAGCCTGAAGGACGAGCAGCCTTCTACAGACACTTCGCTCTGGGTGGATGTTCGCGACGTTGCTTTGGCTCACGTTAAAGCAATTGAAGTCGCAGAGGCTGGAGGAAAGAGATTCTTCGTCACCAACGGCTTCTTCTCAAACCAGGAGATTGCGGAGGCTATCCGGGAAAGCCACCCTCAGCTGGAACCCAAGCTGCCGCCAAAGAGTGCTACTAGAGACTCCCCCACTCATGCTTATGGATACGACAACACCAGATCCCGTGAGCTTCTGGGTATCTCGTACCTGCCTTTGAAGAAGACAGTTGCCGATACCGTTGAGTCTCTGCTGGCTGTTGGTGCGTAAATTGTGACATTACCTGTGTATAGAAGTTAAAGGAAATTGAATTATAGAGCAATAACATAACTTGCCACCGTTTTTGCGCTGGTCATTGTTTGTGTAGTCGCATGTAAACGTAGTTCATTGCTTAAGATTGATCCAGATTGGGTAATCGGAAAAGCTGCATCTTCCCGCTCTGTCGCTCCCCGTACCGGCTGGAGACATTTTCTCCTCCGAGGGTTCCCTCCGCAGCAAAAAAGAATATCCTTGAATCCAGCCATCAGAAACGCCATGACGTCCGCGAGATTATCGCCGACGGCGAATCTTCTGCGGAAATCGCGGGTGTTCGCATTACCACAAGCATTGAAGCCTCCCCAAGAACCCCCCACTTCGAAGACGGTCTTTGAATCCGACAGCGCGACCCTTCCCTATCCCACCCGAGCATCGATTGTTACGCCCGGTTCGTCGTCAAAAAGTGGTGATTGGGGTTTGAAACGTCCTATCCCCCCAAAATCAACATCGGAAAAATCAATCAGACCCGTGATTAGGGTGAATGCCCATGACACCTTCGAACATGTTACCGACTTCGAATCCGCGCAAGACCACACGGTGACCTTGGCGAAGTTCCAGGAACTTCACTTGCCCATGTCGCTTCCGTCCAAGGTCAACTACTCGAGCAGTTTCCTACCGGGACACCAGAGTCCATTCGAATTAGATGTCGACAATACACAAACGAGCAAAGACCTTGCGAGACCGTATGCCAAACAATTCCGGCAATCCGGACCTTGGCTTGCCGGGCAGACCGAAGCGGAGTTTCAGACCTACTTGAAAAAGGTTCGACGTGACAAGCCGGAGATTCTGCAGAGGCTTCGCGATATGTATGTGGCAAAGCGCGCCGTGGAACAGAGAAAGGCGATCCAAGACAAGGGAGAGGATCTTGAGAACATGCAGCCCATAGAATTTGACGAGAAGGAGTTCCATGCCTACATCAAGTCGCTACGTGCAGACCCGACTGCTCTAGGCCCCGTGATATTCGAGCTCCTGGACCTTCCGTCTCCGCCGCCAGTGCCCAACATGAGAATTGCTGGCAAGTATTTCCACGCTCCGGGAACCAAGTTGTCTGCGACGGAATACGCTACTTCTGGGCCACCGAGGACGCACCCATCAGCAGGTCTGTCCTACACGCGGTCTCACGCATTGCTCTACAACCATCCGGAACACGGCCCGCAGGCCTATCAACGACCCGTGCAGGCGCGTATCTTGCGGCCAAAGAGCAAGCTCAAGGGCAAGGGCAACAGGGCCATTGCAGGTATTGGTGGTATTGCATCCGAAGACGTGAACTCCATTACCTTCTGGGATCAACGGACGCCCCCTGGGTTGGCCTACTTTGATGCATCCATCGAAGGCGGTGGCAAATACTGGGCTACGCCAATCCGGGCTTCAGTTACCTCGGATGGCAGAATCGACCTGGCATCTCTCAAGGCAAGCGTTACGGCCAAGGCCCCCTACGGCATTGAGGATGCGCCAGAGGCCGATGCCGCGAACCGCGTTGCGGAAGTGACCAAGGGCGCCTCACGGCAAGTTCCGAAACTGGACGCCAGGGCGCCTCGATTTAGGCAGTTCGACGAAAGAAGGCACACGCCGATGACGAGTCGTGAGGATGCTGCAAGGTCACTCATGGAAACACTCAAGTATGAAAGCTAGGGAACTTGTTATAATGTGTGATGTGACTGTATGATTAGACTGGTTGGACGGAAAGAACCTTTTATTCTTGTGATATAACCGCATATACATCAATTTCCATTGAAGATTGATTGTCGAGTACAGTAATCGTATTTAACCTGAGTCTTCATAGCTCCATAGTAAACCGTATTGCGGAGGCGTTATCGATAAGAACCACGTGACATAGGGCATTTGGAGACTAGGGCACGACCCACACAGCGGCTAAGCGAGCCCAACCCTTTTGCGACACCAAAAGAAGATATCGAGTGCTTTGACAGCCATTCGAACATCCCTCCAGCCAGCAAACAACCGCCAAAATGGGTCGCGTCAGGACTAAGGTCAGTTAAATGAACGAGCCTCTAAAAAGCGATGCAAAAACTAAGAGAAAAAAATAGACCGTCAAGCGGTCCGCCAAGGTTATGATCGAGCGTTACTACCCCAAGCTCACGCTCGATTTCGAGACCAACAAGCGTCTCTGCGATGAGATCGCTATCATTGCCTCCAAGCGTCTCCGCAACAAGGTGAGCACTACCGATTCCCGCGGAATCTCTATCTTAGGTAGAGAGGCTAATGGGAATAGATCGCTGGTTACACCACCCACCTTATGAAGCGTATCCAGCGTGGCCCCGTCCGCGGTATCTCCTTCAAGCTCCAGGAGGAGGAGCGTGAGCGCAAGGACCAATACGTCCCTGAGGTCTCCGCTCTCGATGTTTCCCAGACCGAGTCCGGCCAGCTCGACGTCGACGCCGACACCAAGGACCTGCTCAAGAGCTTGGGCTTCGACAACCTCAAGGTCAACGTCGTCAACGTCACCCAGGCTCAGCAGCCTGAGCGCCGTCGCTTCCGCTCTTAAATTAATTACGACTACGACGTGCAGAAAAAAGTTCTTCCGTTCTCCGTTCGACTTCAACCTTTGGCGTGTTCTGGCGGTTTAGATAGCGTTCGAAGGATGAGGAATGAAAATATGATTCCCGATTACCAAGGTGTCGCTGATTCTCCGTTGGGGATGATGCTTGATTGCCAAAATCATTTTTTCTGCCATGGCTACTGGCTCGGGCGGTCCGTAGGACATAGACTCAAGATATTGACCAGGGAGTTTTATCGAACTCTTTGTTATGTATCTATCAAGAGTCTATTTATGTAGCTTGGGTATCTTCATGAACATCGCGTAACGAACATCAAACCATTGCTCACTCTTGGGGTTTGGGGAAATATCCTTCAATGGAGCCACCCTGGAAGTCCCCCGGACGCATCTGCGGAGGTGCCACGGCATGCGAAAAGTTCTCATTCTCCATGATCTGGACGCCCACTCGTCCATCATGCTGGAAAGCTCCAGCGCTGGAATCACCACGCTCCAATGCAAGTTCTTGAGAACGAAGAGACAAGTCTTGCATCTGAGCAGCCATCTCTCTGGCCTCAGGACCATGCATATGCATATTTTCCAACTGGCCCGCAACCTGTCCAACCGTAGTAGTATTACCACCACTTCTCAGGCCCCTGCCCTGCTGCTCCCGCGCCTCCTCAAGTAGAAGCAGATTCTTATTCCGCGAATCGTCCCCCCTTCGCTCCCAGACTGGCTCCTGCGTCAACTGAACCCGGATATACATCGCCCGCTCTGCACACTCATCTGAACACCACATCTCTAACTTCTCCTTGGGAACGATATTCATCTCCCGACCCCTTCCGCCCGGACCACTGCCTTTGGCGCCGTATTTAATCCGGAACATACCACCGCCCTCTTCCTTGCGGTGCTCCCGCGGACATAGACCGTAGCCACATAGACCCTCGATATTTCGCTCCTGAATGAGATTATCATAGTCTGTAGGTTGGAACGGTACCAACGCGTTCTTGAACAAAAGTGCGTCTTCGGGAGATGGTGTCGACGGGTCTGCAGTTGGCGAGTAAGGGAAGGAAACGAGATCGAGGATGCGGTCGAGGATGAGAGATTCGGTATCTTTTTGGGATTGGATGCGGTGGGCATGGTGCAGGGCTATGGCCATGTGACGAGGGTCGACCCCTGGGTTGGACTGGTTCTGGGGTTTCTTTTGTTGGCGACGGGAGGAATCTGAAGCAGCGGCGTGTGTCGTTGGAAGGGATGTTCTCAGGGGGTTTTGACTGACGGACATGATGGATGTATGATATTAATCAAACATAGAAATGTATTTACTTCAGTACTATTGTAGAAAAGATAAAAGTAAAAGGTAGATGGATAGTGATGGTAAGTGCTGGCAGTCGGAGGATAGATTGCTGACTTTTCGATAGAGGCAAAAAGTAACAATAAATCCCCGGATTCCCCAGCAGATGACGATATCAGGCGTCTGATTGTATGGGACCAGCAGATCTTAATAGTTGTCTTTTATATTTATAGCATAGCAATATAATATCATATTACATTACTCTGTACGTATAATATCCTACTTTACGCACCCTTCATACTCGCCGATCGCCAACAGTGGAGTAGTGAGTGTCCCGCCAGACAACATCCTCTCTCCTCCATCACTCCCTCTCCCTCCGACTTCTTCCTTTTTCTCTTTTACCATCTCTCATACAGTCTTCAACCACTCCATCCTTTGCTTTTACTGTGAGTATCTTTATATACAACCATCCAGCTATGCCTCTTCTTCTTCCTACCCTTTGTTCCCCTCTATACCTCTCCCCTCCCCTTTTCTGCGTTCTGACGTACCTCCCCCCCCAGGCTGACACATATTCGGCTTCCTCAGGCATAACATACAGAGTACTTCTCTCCACACACACTCCTTCGTCGTTTCTTTCCATGTTTCTGTGCTGCGGATGTGTCTGAATCTTCAGATGCTTCGCTTCTGTACAGTCCTTGTTGTGTGATTTACATCTTCCACCCCGTCTGGCATCATTCTGTTGTCTATAAACCGTCCATTCCCTCTACAACAACCACCACCCCGCCAATCACACCACACCAGCCCAGATGTCCAATCCACCATTTACGGTCAAAGCGATCTTCGAGTACGCTTCAGACCACGAAGATGACCTGGCTTTCCCAATCGGTCAGATCGTAACCGTCATGGGTATTGAGGACGACGAGTGGTATTCCGGTGAATACACAGACGAATCGGGTGCTAAACATGAGGGCATCTTCCCCAAGAACTTTGTCGAGAAATATGAGCCGCCTGCTCCGCCCCGACCATCTCGTCCCAACAGGCCCAAGAAGGAGCCTGAAGCTGTAGCTCCTCCCCCCCCCGAGCCTGCGCCGCCGGCGGACCCCAGCCCGGTTGAATCCAATGATCAGCTGGGGCCCGAGTCTGACGATACTCCTGCTGCTACTCCTGCTGCGGTTCCCGAGGTTTCCGCTCCCCAACCGCCGGCGCCGGCCCCGCAGCCTCCGCAGTCCCCTCCTCCGCAAATGGTTACCTCTCCAGTCGCAGAAGCTCCCACCTCTCCTAAGCCTGCGCAAGCTGCAGCACCTCCGCCAGCCGCAGCTGAATCCGCTTTTAAGCCTGCATCCAAGCCTCCACCGCCGGCAGCAGCGCCGAAACCGAGCAGTTCCTCTTTCAAGGATCGTATTGCGGCGTTCAACAAGGCTGCGGAGCCGCCTCTTGCGCCCATCAAACCCGGTGGACTCAGTTCGGGATCCAATCCAGGCTCATTTGTCAAGAAACCTTTTGTGGCTGCACCGCCCAGCAGACATGCCTACGTACCTCCACCTCCACCTAGGGAGCCGCCTCCAAAGATTTACAGGCGTGAGGAGGATCCGGAATTCCAGGAACAGCTGGCACGGGAGCCTCCCGTCTCCGAAAGCCGTCCACCCCCTCCACCCCCTGAGACGGAATCACCGGAGCAAGAAGAGGAAGAGCAGCCCAAGCCCACGAGCTTAAAGGAAAGAATCGCTTTGCTCCAGCAGCGTCAAGCAGAGCAGGCAGTCCGTCATGCTGAAGCTGCTCAGAAGAAGGAGAAGCCCAAGAAGCCTGCGGAGCCGGCCGAACAAGCAGCTCCTGTTGAAGGTGGTGAAGCTGCTGAGGTTGATACTCATGCTTCCCCGGTTATTGTGCACGAGCCGACGAGTGACGCGAATGATGCGGATTATTCCGCTGCCGCTGACACTGAAGAAGCAGAGGAGACTTCGACCAGCAAGGAAGATTACGATGATGCTCCTGCTGTTCGTCCTGTGTCACGACGGGAACCACCTGCTGAGCAGGAGGAAGACAAGGAGAGGGAAGATACCGCTGACAAGGAGACCGAGGGCGAACAGGAGGAGGGTCAGGAAGAAGAAGTTGATCCCGAGGTCAAGCGCAAAATGGAACTCCGAGAGAGAATGGCCAAGATGAGCGGTGGTATGGGCATGATGGGCTTATTTGGTGGAATGCCAATGCCTGGCGCGGCTCCTCGCAAACCCAAGCCCTCTGCGGATACTGAAAAGAAGCCTGCTGCCGAATCGGAAGACACCACCCCTGCTGCTGCTCCCGCACCCCCGGTACCTGTCATGGCTTTGCCAGGAATGAACGCTAACAAGCCGGCCCCTGCTCTCCCCACTGACGTCGAGAAGGAAGAGGAAGCGTCTCAACTCCCTCATGTGACCGAGCAGCATACCGCAGAGGAAATCCCTGATGTCGAGGAAGTCGTCCAGGAAGAACCATCCACGGAAAGGCCTCCGCAGCCACTCCCTCATGGTATATATATCCCTGTTCTATACCCGGTGGGTTGCACCAGCTAATATCCAAGCTTTTACAGAGGGTGCAGCGCCTCCACTTCCGCCTTTGGCGACCAAGCCTGTTCCGCCGTCAGCCCCCCCGGAGCAACCTGCATCGCCGTCTTCGACAACAGGTGGTAAGTAAGCGAAGCTCTTTGCGGATGATATCAAGTCACTCTAACAGCTCAAAACAGCTCGGACCATCCCCCCTGTTCCGAAGTCTCCTCCCACCGCCGCGGATGCAGGGAACGAGTCGGACGATGAGCTCTCGGTTCACGCTAGAAATTTGTCTTTGAACGCCGTCGCTGCGGACCGGCCCGCCCCGCCTCCGTCGGCTGGAGCACCGCCGCTCCCGGATCATTTGGATTCACGACGCCCTTCGACTTATGATACCTCATCTCCTCTGTCTCCTACTCTTGGTTCGGAGAAGAGATTTAGTCGACCACCACCGCCTATTCCTACGAGTCCGCCATTGTCACCTCCGAGACAAACTAGGGCTCCTCCGCCGCCGCCGCCTACCGATCTTCGCCGTAGATCTACGGCTGAAAGCCGGACTACAACGGCTTCTTCTCGTCAAGCCGGGGAAGGAGACGGCGAAACCACGGAATATGACGGTGACTATGACACAGATATTGCATCCAGTGCTAAGCATAAGAATGCTCTGAAGGGTCACGAGGCCGACTCGAGCATGGACGAAGGCACTCCAATCGACGACTATTCAGTTCAATCGCCCCAAAGCCCTCGTGGCGCCCCTCCCCCACCTCCCACCGCTCCCAGAGCAGTCCCACCGCCACCACCCAGCCAGCCTCCTAAGAGCGCCGGTAGGTCTTCTGTGGATATCCCAAGAGGACCCCCACCGCCGCCTCCGGCTGCTCCCCCAGTTGCCCCCGAAGATGATGAGTATGACCCGTTCCGGTATTCCAACCCGCAGCATGGTTTGGCTTCACCTACGATGCCACCTGTCCCCGCTGGACGGCCACAGCCACCTGTTCCTCGGCCCGAGCCAACGGCCGATGAACAGGATGAACTGTATGATGCATCTCCCGTAACCACTTCCGAGCGACCGTTTTCTCCTTCGCGAGAGAAGCGCATGTCTGGTGTACCGCCTCTGCCGCCTCCCCATGAGACTCCAGTTGGCCCACCTCCATCCTCGTCTCGGAGTAATCGTACTTCTTTGGACGTTCCGCGGAGCTCCCATGGTGTACGAAGATCTATTGATGGCCCTCGCCCGTCATTTGATCAGGGCTTCATGGCCATGGATGTCGATCTAGCAGAGCACACCATGTGGTGGGCTCAACCCAACACGCCACCGCCGGCCATCCAAGGACGAAGGGATGTGCAGTTCGAGATCGAGGAGTCGACCTCCACGAAGCGCGGCGGTAAGACGACCGTAACCAAGGATGTCTATGTTCTTTACGCGGACTACTCCCAGACGGTCATCACGGCGACCTATGATGCCCGTAACCCGTCTGATGTCTCCTTGGAGCAGCGCAAGGAGCATCCTCCGGTTCAACCTCGTCAAGATCAGTTGGAAAATGCCCACGTTCAAAACGGTACCCGTATTAACGATGCGGTGACATCGTTTCAAAACACTACTGTCGCGGACGGTACTCCGTTTGGCTTGATCCATCATCTACTCCAGCCTTTGTCGAATGCTTTGCTACCCGTTGGCACCCGATCCTACGGCGCTTTGGTTTACGCCAACCTCGCCAACGCGTCTGTGCAGCAATTCGATGAGATCCGCGCAGGTGATATCGTGAGCTTCCGCAATGCCCGCTTCCAGGGCCACCGCGGGACAATGCACCAGAAGTACAACGCAGAGGTGGGCAAGCCCGACCACGTCGGTGTTGTTGTCGACTGGGACGGAACGAAGAAGAAGATCCGCGCGTGGGAGCAAGGGCGTGAGAGTAAGAAGATCAAGATGGAGAGTTTCAAGCTCAATGACCTGCGCAGTGGGGAGTGCAAGGTCTGGCGAGTTATGCCGCGGAGCTGGGTTGGATGGGAGAATTAGATGGTGTAATGCATAATATGGGTCACTTTATGTGGCTCGGTTTAGATGGTGCGATATTGTGGTTATCTCCTCTTAGACATGTTGAGGGTACATCTCGTTTCGCATGGATTTACGCAGTGGCTTGATATTTTGCCCCTGTTTTCTAGCTAGCTCTGCTATGTATTTATGCACTTTTTTCGACTGTAACTTAGGAGTGGTAATGAGACCCATACTGTAGGTCTCCTGTCCAGAGAATTGCCGTATTATGCCTGAGGCAACACACCGGTGGCAACTTACATAATCCACTACTCACCACTTCCATTTCTGGAATCTGATCTCTTATCGTACCTTCCCCAACTTCATCCGTCATCTTCAATTCTCCCAGTCATCACAGCGCAACAGCGCCCATCAATTCAAAATGGGTGGTGGGGATCTCAACCTGAAGAAGTAAGTCCATTCCCTCAACTAACATCCCATAATTCAAACCTAGAGACTAACAAGCAACCCAGATCATGGCATCCCTCCCTCCTCCGCAACCAAGAGCGCGTCTGGTCCGAGGAGCAAAAGGCCCTCGAGGAACGCAAACGAATCGACCAACTCCGTCGCGAGCGCGATGAAGAGCGCCAAATCCAAGACCTGCAGCGCCTCCAGGAAGACTCGGGCCAGGTGCGACAGACGCAGCGCGTTGACTGGATGTATCAGGCTCCTTCGGGAGCCACGGGTCATGTGGCTGAGGAGATGGAGGGGTATCTGTTGGGAAAGAGACGGATTGATTCAGTGTTATTGAAGGGGGAGGAGACGAAGAAGTTGGAGAGGGGGGTGGATTTTGCTCCGGCGGCGGGTCCTGGGGTGGGTGCTGGTGCTGTGGCGCCGGTGAATAGTAGAGATATGATGACGAAAGTTATGGCGGATCCGTTGTTTGAAGTTAAGAAGAGGGAGCAGGCGGCTTATGAGGCTGCAGTGAAGGAGTCGGCGAGGAAAGGGAAGAAGGTTGTTGATGGTGGTAGTGGTGGTGATCGTCAGCCGGGGAAGGGACGTGAACAAGAGCGTGATCGTGACCGCAGTCATCGTCACAGAAGCCATCGGTACAGTGATAAGGACTTGCACAGACATCGATCACGTCGACACCGATCTAGGTCTTCATCGCCGAATCATCGCCGTTCGCATAGGAGTCGGAGAGATGACCGGGACTATCGTGATGATCGTGATTGGAGGGACAGAGATCGCAGGGACCGTGATCGACGCGAAGACCGTGGACGTGAACGATCCCAAGACGAACGGGACCGCAGAGACCGCGATCGTCGTGCTTCGAGCAAACACCGTGATCATGATGACAGATACCACAACCATCCTTGTCACGACTCGTATAGTCGACGTTCACCCTCTCCTCGTCGGGACCGTCGTCCTTCTCCTGACAGACTAGGCTTAGAAAGCAACGGCTACCGCAAACCTCGAGACTACGATAACCGGGTGCGTGACTCTTATCGCCGTGACAACAACCGTTCTCAGTCCAACGGCCACGCGAATGGCCAGGCCAACAATGTCAAATCGAAAGAACAACTGGACGAAGAACGCCAGCGCAAACTCGACGAAATGCAATCCAACGCCAGCGAGCTCGAGACAACCCGCCGTAAGCGCATCGACGAAGTCACCGCCATGGAAGAGCGTCAGCGCGAGGAGGATCAGAAAAATCGTACTGAGAAGGGTCGGTTTGTCGGACAATTGCATCGCCAGTTACAGGAGGATAGTCTTGACCAAAGGATTCAGAGAAGCCGTGGGGGTTTGGTTGTTGATAAGGATGAGTAGTTGAGCCTTGTGGGCTTTTTATGCGTCTACATGGTTAAGGTTTTCATATTTCATTGTCATAGCATTATGGGCAGCTGAGTCGATTTCATGTACAAATATATATTAGTCCCTCAGGCGTTAGGGTTATATCCACAATCAATGCATCATTCATATATCTTTACATCGGACCATCTGCATGGTACTAGTATTAGCCGGGATATATATATAATTACGGGGATTGCATAACTACATATGTAGTTAACTTACGCATGTTGCTAACATCCGGTGGAGTCGGAGATGAATTCCGTAGCGTCTAACTCGACAGAATCAGTCCAGGCGAGTATACAACGAAGGGGATATTATATCCGGCCACAACGGGCGAATGATGTACATTAGGGCACCCTTATGCCAAATAAACGAAAGGAATCCAATGGATTAACAGCAACTATCCTCGTCTGTATGTATGCGAGGCCCATGGCCTACACGTGACGTAAACCCAATCTCCAATCCCACACAATACACTTCTCCTAACCCAAGACTCTGGCTCAGCTCACCCATACCACTGTGTCAGGTACAGACCGCGCCATCCTCACTGTCCTCCAGATCCCGACCATGGTTCCCATGCCCTCACCCCCGCCCCCGCCGCCTATAAGGCCGACCCAGCCTCTATATCGAGCGTCCAAGAGTCTCCCACCAGCCCGATTGCCAAATGCGACGATAGCGTGCAACCAGTGCCGGAAGGACAAGGCAAAAGTATTTTTGGTTCTATTCTCATTGTGATTGTTGACTCGGTGATTCTATCCTTTGTTGACCGTCACTGTAACTGTGACTAACACGTGAAAGTGCATAGGAGGAGCCCCGTGTGCCAGATGCCGCAAAGAAAATAAACAATGCATCGTCGACGAGAACCGAGACAGCCGCCGAAAAGTCGCCCTCAAGCATAAGCTCGAGACGCTGGAGCAGGATCGGTCCTTGTTAATCCAGCTGCTCGAGACACTCCGTGGAGAAGACCAGGTGAAAGCGGACAGATTGTTGAGGGTCATTCGGAAGAGCAAGGTGTCGTTTGACGAGATCCGACGGTGCATTGATAATGACTTTGATCCGGATGCTGTTATCACCGACGAGTCCCGACTTACGCGAGCAGACTCGCAGCAACATTTGTCGCGTTCGCGGTCATCGAGTCGGTTGCGGGTTATGGATGTCAAGTGGTTGTCGGATAATCCTCGATGGAAGGTTCCTGCACAGCCATGGACTTCAGTTTCGGATGATGATGACTTCGTGTCTCACTTGGTGTCGCTTTTTTTCACCTGGCATAATAACACGCTTAACTGGATTGATCCTGAGCTGTTCTTTATGGATATGGAGAAGGGTCAATTGGGGGCTCAGTTTTGCTCTCCGTTGCTTGTCAACAGTATTCTTGCTGTAGCTTGTGTGCGTCCCGATACAGTGCTCCTTCGTGCCCCAATTCTGAGTGTCGACTGATGGTGACGTGATAGTTCTATTCTAGTTATCCTGAAGTATTTGCCGAACCGAGTGATCCTAATACTAGGGGAATGCATTTCTACAACGAAGCGAAACGACTTTTGGATGAGCAGCAGGGTAAGTATAGTGTTACGAACCTTCAAGGACTGGGTGGGATTTATACTTGGTACGTCGTTCACCTCAATATAGGATGGATTGATAGTTAAATATATGCAGGGTCTGTATTACCGGGAAAGATAGATTTGGTTATTTAATATTGGGCCAGATGGCAGAACAGGCTCAGCATATGATGAAGTTCCGTGACAGTATCATAGCCAAAGCCGGTGACCAGGCCGAAAATACCACTAGAGCCATTGATGTGACCACTAGTGGAGTTTACAATTTTCTACCGTTAGTTCCTCTCCCAAAAATAACCCTAGCTTGGCTGACTCGCAAAAGGACCGCCTGCCTTGCTCTACAACGAGCACTACCGTTCAAGAAGCCTCCGCCGAGACATTTACCAGAAACACATGATCCCAAAGACACGTGGATGCCTTATCCTGTACAGGCCGAGCCTGTGCAGGCTCATACAAACTGTCTAGTCAACGCATTGTCCAAGCTGGGATGCGTCACTTGGGATCTATGTAGTTTCTTCTTCAGCAACAACGATAAATTGCCTCAATCGGATACCGAGAAGATGGCTGTGGATATCTACACGGATTTACAACAATGGACCGAGGAGATTCCTGAATGCGTGAGCCTGAGGAATGTACCAACTCCCGGAGTCCTGGACATGCAGTAAGCACATCAACCACCCCATTTGAGCAGGGAAAGAAAGAAAACCCATACCCCAGTTTACGCTACCACTCCAACATCATGACCATCTTCGGCTTCATCCAAAACCCCTCGACAATCGACAAATCCTCGCCTGCCCACCGCGCACGCGAATTACGCTTGTCCTCCGCCCACGAACTCCGCAAACTCCTTGACATTCAACGCACAAAATGGCCCATCGAATGCATGACCATGTCCAGCTCGCAATTCTCCACCGTCGCCCTCTTCACCCTCCTCGAAGACCTCGACAACCCATCCTCCGCCTCCGCCTTTGCAGACACCGCTATCTCCCTCTTCTCCACAGCCAAGCGGTTGCAGTTAGCCAAGGGAATGTTCAGGCTCGTACAAGGCACCGCCTTACAAAAGAAAATCAGACTTTCACCGGAAATTAGGAACATATTTAGAGATTTCGACGAAGTCGTCTGGGTCAAGGAAGATAAGGAGAAGTTCAGCAGTTTGTATCCGAACTTCGCAGTTACGGTGCAATATGAGTCTGTTGGGGAGGCAGAGCTGGATGACTTTTTGGAGCAGTGGGATACATTAGCTTTGGGGGATCATGGGACTCCGACTCCTGATAGGGAGTGACTAAAATACAGGAGAAGGATGCTTTGACGGGTTTTCTGAATATATACTGGGGAGCCTTCGAGTTGGTGATGAATCAGTAGATTACAGGTTTAGATGAGTATGATTGCGGTTCGATTTGGTGTATGGCAGTGAAATTCTTTACTCAGTTATCCCAGTTATTGTAATCAACAATTGCATTGGAATAACAACACAACCCTATGGCACTAATAGTTGCAGATTCTCCTGCTTGTCCAACGGAAGTTCCGTTCAGTCATCCCGACTGGTCTCGTAGAATGTCAACACTCGCATTTAGTAGCTATACAGTCTCCATCGACCAGCAAAGTTATGGGCTTTGTCTGTCTTCAAATGCAGTAGGTGAAGAGATAGCCAAATTTTTAATGTCGCATGCTCTGTTATTTCTCAGTAGCCAACCAGAGTCACGTAGAATAAGGTAACCAGGATTTCGAGTATAGCAGAAACTCGTGTTTCGAATACTTGCAGTTTTTTCTCATGCGCTCGCCCAGTGGTAATTTATGACTGAGTGTTTAGACACTCGTACGCGAGATGACACGAACGAATAGAAGACCGCTAACCGGGTACATCAGGGCGAGATAGGATTTCCTAGATGCATGTGATCTGTTCTGGTTTCTGATGTGTCTTCGCCGTATAGGTATGGGTTTATTCACCTTGGTATTTAGGAAACTGGTTTGCTGGCTGTTGAACTTGCAAGTTCATTCTGACAGTGATAATATTGCAAACCAGTGCCCTGCTGCCAAACAAGATGCGAAGAAATGATTACCAAAGGGAACTGTTCCCCTCTAGAAGAAGCATGATTACTGGCTTCCTGTTCCTTGTCAGCAATGTCTCGATATAATGGGCCTGGTGAATTGTATACCGGGGTGACTCACAAATAGTGAAAATCAAGACTTTAGTAGTTTGTCTTCTATAAGCAAACGGCCAACAGCATCCTCATTTATTCCAGTTCCATTGATCAGTAAAATGGGATTTTCTCTTGAAACCTCGCAGACTTTTGATCCCCACAGGTTGAACTGCAACTGTGAAGTGTTTATGGCCGCAATATACTGACCTGGTTGCTCGGCAATGCTTGGATATGAGATGGGTTACTGGAAGATACATTTTGTCATGTCCAGATAATGGGTAAATTATGAAAGAAGACTGTATCTTGCGCATTTTCGAAACTGCGTACTAGAAAGCGATAGTCTGGACGTTATTATTATACTTGGTTGTTCTTGTATCCGTGGACATAAAAATCTAGAAGAATTATATATTTGGAGATATGATGTTGCTTTAGATCGGGCGCAAGACAAAGATGGCTTTTTACCTGGCTTGGTAGGGAATCGAAAAGTGGTTAGGATCTCTTGGTAAGTATGTATACCGTGACTTGTCTTGAGAAATCCGGGACGTGCACATGTTGTAGAAGCCCTGTCGGTTCTCTTTATCGAGTATAACATAGAAAGCATGCATAATGCGACATGTCATACTCAAATCCACAGGGCAAGGCACAGGACCTTGTCTAGTCGTGTGAGTACACAAAGTCCGGGTGTGACAATTTGGATTCATGAGTATGTGCTCGTATGGCGAGGATGCCGTGCGTTTTCTTTTATAGTGATTAGAATGAGAGTGACCACGACAGGGGCAGGGACACTAAAACCCCATCAACTACCCGGTTATAAGAGTGTATACTAGCATGGACAATCCGTTATGGATGAGACTTAGGACTTCAGAGCTTCCCTGGCTTAACTTGGGTTTATAGAACAGTAAGGCGATATATATTGTCGGATTCTCTGGATGACTCGGAGCAGAGTTGTTGCAGAGTAAAGTAGATTGGATTGGATTCACTTACCTTCTGCTACTCTAGTTATCTGAGCAATTGGCTTGCTTGCATTGTGGGTATTCACTCACTTTTAGAATTCTTTGGCTATTAACGATGTATACTCGATTGATGATTTTTTTTTTCTCCCCTTTAACCATTGCCAGAGCATCTGCTATGAGGAAATCACGATAAAAATGAAGTTAAGACTTCAACGTTAGACCGTAATAACTAGGGTCTATTCAGCACTGGTGGTACAAGCATACTACTCGTTCACGAATCAAAGAAATAAATATTATTAACAGCCAAAGTCATCAAGCTAAGCTACTATTCACAGTCAAGTCAGTCCGGTCTACTCTATAGACCCGGGGTCATTGCACAGGAAGTGGTAATATATCCAATCCAAATCCAACCCATCGTCTCTATATGCAATTGCAGGTGCAAATCAAAAAGAAAAAAATATATATGCCGCTTTTGCGAGTCCCAAGAGGGTATCATCTCATCAGTGGTGGAGAGAAACAAGGAAAAAAGAAAAGAAAAAAGAATATAAAAAAAAGAAAAGGAATATGCACGAAAAGAAATTAAATAACAACACCCTTGTTCTGCTTCTTGTCAACACGGTAGTTCTTCCACACCGCGATACAAGGAATCGCGAGTCCTAAGAACGCCGTCGCAGCGATAGCTCCGTAGTACTGACTCGTACTCCAGGCCAGGTTCGCGGCTTCACGTGTAGGATCGCCAGGCGGGTACTTCATCTGCTCGGTGTAACCGGTCGTGTAGAGGTCGTTGAACTTGGACTTGGTGGACTCGGGGAGGTTCGAGAGCAGTGCGCCGGGGAAGGTGTTGGCGTAGATGGCGGCGGCGACAGCGTAGCCAACAGAGCCGCCAAGGCTGTTGAAGAGACCCAGTAGCGCGAGCATCATGGGGACACCTTCGCGGTCGGCGGAGGCCATGACGGCCATGTCGGCGCCGATGACGAGGGTGCCGCCGCCGAAAGCGATGAAGATCTGGGACATGATCACGTAGCCGATGTCGCTGTGGTCACCTTGGCCACGGAAGTGAATCATGAGACCGGCACCTAGGATGAGGAGGGGAAGACCGAAGAAGAGACAGGTGTTCTTGAAGGTCTTGGTGTAGCGGACCCAGAGACCGAAGACGACACCCCAGAAGCAAGAGCCGACGTTGTAGATCTGGCCCATGTAGCCGGCGAGGGTGATGGAGAGGTCGTAGACGACCAGGCAGAAGTTGTAGTAGTACAGATCCCAGCAGTAGAAACTGAAGTAGGTGACGGCGGAGAGACAGCAGGCGCCAAGAACGGTGCGCTTCTTGAGGAGTTCGTATTGGACGAAGTGCACGCGAGTACCCCATTTCTCCCAGGCGGCGAAGACAAACATCAGGCAGAATCCGACGACAATCATGGCGATGAAGGTAGGGCTGCTGTATGTGGAGCGGCCATATTGCTGCAGACCAAAGGGAAGGAGGAGGAGGACCCAAGCGGCCATCAACAGGAATGCACCGATGACTGTTAGGTTAGCATACGCTTTTCCAGAGCAAGATAAGGGGACATACTGTCGAATTCATGGATATAGTGGACAATAGACTGCGAGAGGGTCCGACCACTGGGCTCACGCTTGTACAAACCCATTCTCTCTGCCTTTTTCTCATAGTACTTGAAGACGAAGGCCAGCGGCGCAAAGACGAAAGGCTGGATGATGGTAAATGCACCATACGCCCAACGCCAGCTCGTCATGTTGATAAACGACTCAGCCGCCCGCGGACCAACAAAAGCAGTGCAGATAAAAGGCGTGCTAGCAAAGGCGAACGCAAAAGCACGGTTCCGCAGACCGGAGGTATCAGCGACGAAAATCTGCAGGATCAGGTAAATGGCATCGTATCCAATCCAGTACAGCACGTAACCGGCGGCGTAGGAGTCGGGGTTGTTGCAAGCGGCCAGGATAATCAGACCCAGAACGTAGACACCGAGGAAAACCAGGTAACCCTCAGCACGACCCCAGATGTTGATGGTCTTGGCGATGGGGAGTTTCAGTACACCACCGATGATACTGTACAGGATGTTGGAGGTACTGATTTGGGGGGCGGATGAGAAGCTGCTGTAGGCTTTGTTGATGACGTTGCTGTTGATGGAGGAGTGGAAGGCCAGCATGAAGAAACAAACCCAGATCCTATACCTGTTAGTTTCGTTCATTACCATAGGGAGTAGGTGACATACCAAGCATAAGTCCCAAACAGCGCGGGCTTAGTCCAGACTATAGCCGACGCCTCGGCTTTTTGCACACCCAGATGAGCCTCCTTGGTGACCTCGTCGGGATGCAGCTGGACATTCCTCTCATTACGTTCCTCCAAGCTGAGTCTGATATCGCTATCCGTCGGGGGGGTCTCTGGCCCATCGCCTAGGTTCTTGGGCTCATGGCTCTCCGAGTAGCCCAGGTCCTCGACGATGTGGCTGTCCTTGCGACCCCGAATGACATCGAAGACACCCATGTTGATCTATAGTGTGATAGAAGATCAAATAGAACAGTGTCTTGGCGAGAACAATTGGCGTGAGAGAGGAGTAGTATGGGTAGAGGATCAGAAGATCGGGGCAGGGGATCTCGCTCTTTTGTATATTTCACGGACGGCCAGTCGGTGGAGTGAGTGCCGAATCGGGACTAGCGTGACAAATTTTCGCTTGCCCGCAGGACGCGCGGTGGGTCTTCGTTCTGCCTCCACCCAATAAGAAAATTGTATTTAAATGTCGGATCAGATAACAGAGTGGGTAGCGGATCAGATAACTTCCGTGATGGAGCCAATCAGCAGTGGATATTTGTGCCATTGTACCTTTCATTGGTGGTTTCAGAAAAATTACCCACTATATAGACTGGGTCATGTGGGTCGAGCTGGAAGTAGTCATCATCGACTCCCCCATTCACTACTCACCACTCCTGTATCCCACGGAGTATATACTTGTAGAAAGATAGGCAGGTAGTCACCAATTGCAGTGAGGAGAATACTAATCTATATCTTCCATCGATGTTCTATATCAGACATTGCACACAGTGTACGTACAAGTGCAGTCATCCCACGCGGCCGATTGACCGACTGAAGCAATGGCCCGGGAATCTGGACAGGTGGGGAGATGCCTAGGCAATGTCTTACTGCCGACAGCGGTACTGTACATAACAATAGTAATTGAAACTGACCACATTATTTCGCATTTTGTGGAAGAAGTCGTATCATTAGACGATTCAATTATTACCATCGTAGCATAGAGTTAAGACAGCGAATTTTGTTTTTTCTTTCTTTCTCCCTCTTTCTCGGTGGACCCGAGCGGTGACGGCTCACCCCGACGCCTCCCTCGACGCCTCTCCCCGGAGCAAACTCCCATCGTGGATTGCCATGGCGTGTCATATCGGAGTGTCCACTTCGGAATGACCGTGACAACTCCGTGGTTACAGGAACTTGTCTACCGCAAACACACCCAAATCCACCAAACAAAGAAGACTTCTTGCCACTGACTGATGATAAGATCTATCTAATCAATCTAATCAAGCCTTGGCACCAGCGCCGATTGTCGGCTGCCCGGACATCAGACTTGTCCCAGCTCCAGTGGCTCGTCTACAGCCGATGGCCCGTGTGGCGTTGAGTTGGTTCTGTCGCTGTTATTACCCGATCTGTCTGGTCAAGTGTCTATTCTGTTGGGATGTTGCGTACTTTGGGAAGGGAAGAAAAGGACTCACACGGAACGAACAAGCAAATGCGCACAATAACAAACTGTGAATCCAATCACAAACGGTCAAATTGAAATTACAGCACTCCTGTCTGTGCGATTCCTTCGAGGTGCGCTGAGCGTGGCGTGTCCGATTCAATCCGCCTGCTCCGATACCTACCAACAAAAAAAGAAATTGTAAAATTGTACACTGTAGCCAAAAGCAGTACCGTTGATTGCGGACTTGCATCCTATCCTGGCATACACCCGCCATCCACCGTCCACCGACACCCCGGTGTGTGTGCCGTACGCCGTACTCCGTACTCCGTACTAATGCATCCTCTGACAAGGCTGACGATGCCTTCCACATTCGAAAACGGCTGTTTCAGACAAAATGAGCTGATGCATCAGCTACACTACTCCATTCCTGCACTAGTACATAGTACATGAGTGCCGGCATGCAGATCAGCTCACTAAATCATACGACAACCAACCAACGCACCGCTAAAGGCTCACAGTAATAATGATAGCCGGATTCACTAGTTAACCAGTTACCTAATATCTAATGTCTAGTACTGCCATCGCCGGCGGTAGCGGCAGGTGGGAACATACCCGGAGAGCCCGCATTCTCGAAAACAGACTAACACGGCGAACTCCTGGTTATATCCGCGCTACGTGGGGTGTCAGTTTACTTTCCTTGCTTTGCCTTGAGCTGGTGCCGCAGAAGCAACGACGGATGCTACTGCATCCCCATCCCCATCCACCGCACCGCAGATCCGTACTCTCCAGGCGTTTCACTCCGTTCATGCTGATCTGATCAGCAGTTCTGGAAAGCTTGACTTGCCCAGATTGCACTTTACATCCCGTATTCCGATGCTATGCACAGTCATTATAAATCCGTAGAATGCCACTGGTTGGCGTCTGGATTATGGTTTCTTTTTACTCCGTATAATATTAATATCAGGGGTACGCGTTACGAGATCCCGAAATGAGTATCGACGGTTAAGCTCTCATCCCATCTGTCTTGCCTTACTTGTCCAACTGGGCTGAGATCTGCTGTGCATCATGCTTGCATCCCATACATAGGATAGAAATGAGTGTAGGTGAGACGTGGTGATTTGTAGCTCGTAGCTCGGAGTATTGTAGCCTCGGGGATGTGCAATGAGCAGGGTGAGACATCGGCGTTAAGAGCATAAGGGGAGGTGTTCGTAGCCTCGTTGTTCTCGTGACCTGTGGCCGGTGATCGTTGCGTGCCCCGTATCCCATTAGCAATCTTTTGGATCAGCGGCATACTACTGCTACAGGTACGGAGTGACTTCCTACAGGAACGAGTGCAGAATCAGCGGATTTTTTTCTATCCGAACTAGGCATACTATGCCATGCTTGCAAGCAGAACAACACCTCGCTAATGCTAGCATGCAATTCAATCATCCATTATCATAACGAAAGACTCCCATCTCAGCTTCCTGAAGCCGCAGCTCCAACCGCAGCATCATCACCTTTGTGCTCTTCAACATAAACTCGTGCTTCTTGCGTGTGACTGTCATTAATATGCCCCCCGTCAGCTCCTGGACCTTCGAGTTTCCCCTCCTGTTCCTTTGCATCAACTTCTGGTTCTTGCGTTTGCATTTGAGCGTCATCGGCATGGCCACTGTCAGCATCATCCGCACCATCCACGTCCTCGAGTTTCCTCTCCTGCTCCTCCTCCTTCTCCTCCTCTTCCTCCCAGCTATCTGCAACAGGTTCTTGAACCTTACTCAACTGCTTCCCAGTACCAACACTAGAGCGCAAAACGAGTCGTTCCTTCTTCGCACCCGCTCCAGCACCAGTAAAATCACCACCCGCAAGCGCAGCATATGATCCCGACGAAAACGTCGTCTTCGGAGTCAGGGTAGATGGCGAACCACCGGCGTTGCTCTTCCTTGAAGCAGCAACCTGCGCCCAACCACCGCCATCCACGCTGCCTTGCGCTTGTGCCTTGACAGCTTCGCGCGATGCCTTCGCCTCTGCAGCTGCGACACGCTGTGCCTCGCGCTCTTTTAGTCGCTGTCGTTCGCGGAGCTTGACACATTCGCCAACGCTCATACCGCCAATACCGATAACTGATCCATTACCGAGTCCGAAGATCGGCGGATTCCACGACGCCGGTTTCAGAACAAAAACGTGCCTGTGCGGCTCTGGGTCAAAGCTCTCTGTCGCAAAGCCCCAGTCCGTTGCGAGGGAGTGGGTGAATGCCCTAAGAGAAGGCTTGGCGGGCTGGAAGCGGACAGAACGGTTTGTGGGGCTGATCGATGCTGCTAGAGAGTGTAGAGTAGACTCGTAGGTCTGGAGGGTAGCTAGCGGCGCTGAAGAGGAAAGTTGGATGTACATGTCGAGAGTTTCGGAAGAGTACGGAAGAGCATTTTGGGCAAGGGTGGTAGACTGGTTGATTTCGACTCCTAGCGCGGACGCTAGAGACCGATTCCGCTCCAGACGTGAACATTCCTCGTCGCAAGTCAAAGGTGTCAACACAGGCAGTCGCTGTGGTTGCTGAACCTGTCCCTTAGAAGCCACTGCCTTGGCTGCATTGCAACGCCGCTCCTGACGGAGTCGACCACAGCCACATGTTACCGTGACCGTAGCCGAGCAGGGCGTCTTCTCAGGACAAGCAAAAGGAGCATGGCAAGCGTCTGTGCATGGATGACCACACAGCGTCTTGCGCTTCCCACATGCCTGCTGACAAGGTTGGGCTGAATCTTCGCAATTATCAGGTCGATGGCAGTTCTTTTTGCACGAGTGCGAGCCGCACTTGAGCGGCTCGTTGCAAATCTGGCCGCATCGAACATCCACCAACCAGCAAGGCTGATTCTTCATCGTCCGCTTGCCGCATAGACACATCTTCTCAGTCAAGAATGGACACTTAGGGCAGTTCTCGTCGTCTGTGTGACAGTTATGTTGCGTCTGGGGATGACCGCAAGGTTTCGACCGTTCGCACGGGAACGAACATGATGGCGGTTGTGTCCCACAGGGCAACGGCGGGTGCAGGATAGATCGCCCGCAGTTACACGGGATCTCTTCGAAAATCGCCTCCCTGCAGGTGTTGCACGGCCCCTTGTGGCAGATCTCCGGACACGTGTGTCTTCCGCATTTCAGCGTCCGACCACACACTCGTGTACAGATATGTTCCGCCTCCACATCTTCGTCGCTCGGACGAAGGTGCGACCTCAGCTTCCGTCGCATAGCCTGTCGTTCAAGGGCCTTCTGCTCTCCAGGGCAGCACCGCTCAGCACACGAGTGTCGACCACAGTGCAAGCCTGCTTTGCATTGGCGGAAACACTGCGGTTTCTCGATAGTGCCTTGGTGGCAAACCGTCACCATGGTATTACGACCACAGCGACACGAGATTGGAACCCGGAGCATACAAGCACCACATGGGCCGGTGTGACAGAGCTTTTCACATGGATGTCCACACGGCAGTGGTTTACCACACGCTTCACGACAATGGGGAATGGGGTCCTCGCATGTCGTTCGCGAGGAATATCCAGATATATTTGTCAACGGTGTCTTTCCACAAGGACAGTCAAGCACGACGTCGGGTGACATTGGGCAATGTGCGGGTTGCGAATCTTGCGGATGACAGCTTTTCTGGCAGAAGTGAATACCGCAGTCAAAAGGACGGTTGCAGAGTTCTCCGCAACTGAAACAGCCTTCCCAATTTTCAATTTCACCAGAATCGTCATGTAGCTTTTCACTCTCCATTTCTTCATCTCTAGCACTGCACAGCATCTCGGTCTGCACATCTCCACAATAGCAACGTGCCTCCACCTTGACATCGCAAGCACCGCAAAGACCCTCGTGGCACGGTTTTGAACAAGTATGCCCTCCGCAGGGCAGTAGATCGCCGCAAACCTCACTACAGCTCCACCCTTTTTCGTAATCGGTATCCTGGCAACGTTTCGTAGACGAGTTCCTTCCACAGAAACAATCTTGCGTGGGACCCATAGCCGTACATGGGGCACAGGGACCGGCGTGGCAAATCGAATCGCAAGGGTGTGGACATCCTTTACGAGCGCGCGAACAGGTCTGCCCACATGAATGCGGAGGTAAACCGGGTAGTGAACGCGGGTCGACTTCTTTCTCACACCAACACGAGTAAGATGAAGGGAACACCTCTTGAGCAAGGTTGCAACCGGGACAGCGCCAAGCGCGAGGTGTGCTGGTCTCCCCGGTAGACTCCTCTTGTTGTCGACGCATAGCATCTTGTGCCGCTGAGCCTTCATTCTTCGACCACTTCTTAACGCAACTCAAATGGAAAACCGTCCAGCAAAGTCCACACGACCAAACACGCGATCTTCGGCCCAGTTCACTGGTACAGATCGGACACTCGTAGAGGTTGTGAAGTATATCTTCGTGAATTCGAGTGGCGATATCAGGGGCAACAGATTTCGTAGTGACCTTCGGTCGAGGCGGCTGAGGGTTACTACTCTTCGCTTTCGATTTCCCTTTCGATTCGTGATCTCTCGAGGTTGACGGTCTTTCACCATTCGTCGGCACCCCAGGCACAAAGGTAGGTGCATCAGCTCTCAATCTCTCATTCGCATCCTCCACATCCTCCGCATCCCCCTCAGGTCTCGTCAACCGTCCCTCAAACGTCCGTCCACCAATTCCAGCACGTCTAGGCCCTTGTCCCACATCAACACCTCCCCTTCCATGTCGTCGTCGACCACCACCACCACCACCACCATCCGAACGGGGTCCACCTCGACTTGCCCCTCTACCCCCACCTCTCGGACCCCTCCGTTGCCGCGGAGCTGCATCGGAGTTATTTGCTGTCGAATTTCCACCGTTCACCGACGGAGGCGGTTGTGATGCTTGCTGTTGGGCATCCGGAATCTGGGATGACTCTGCTTGGGCTTGTTGGTTATGTCGAAGGGGGCGGTTGCCACGACCACGTCTGTGTCTGGGGCGCGAGTTGTTGTTGCCGGTAGCGCTGTTCACGTTGGCGTTAGAGCCGGCGTCAGGAGGACCAGACATGGTCTCGAGGGTGTGAGAGTGTCGATTAATCGGTTGGGCTGTGTCCATGCGATTGCTATTTTCGTTGAATAGAACAATCCGAATATGGTTGTTGGAAGCAAAATTAGACAAAAAGGGAGGTAAAAATTGTATCTTCGTCCCTGCAACAACGCAAAACCAAATAGCACAGACCCGGAGGCAAAAGAATGAATGGGGAGGAAAATGATCGAAGGAAAGAAACAAAAGCAGCTTTCTTGAAGATGAACGGCGATCGGTGGCGGACCATGTGATGCTTATGTAATCGAGTTTTTTTCTCTTCCCTTTTGGGATTGAATGTAGTGACTCATACTAGGGCCACACGAAGAGTCATTTCGAGTCATCCCATTATTATTTTATGCAGTACAAGGTAGTCATGACAAACATCGCTATGCATCAACACATCCACATCAACATAAACATTAAAAAAACACCACAATCTCTCCTCGCTCGTTCCGCTTCAATCGCAAGGTCCGCCACAGCTCCTTCTCTTCCTCCTGACGTTGCTCACGATCAGCTCGCTGTCCCTCCTCGTCGTTGTGGAAGCGCTTCAGGATCTTGTTGATCGAGAAGCCGCGCGAGCTCTCAGGACCCTTGGTCACCAGTGACAGGAAGTGAGCCGCCATGTCGCGTTGCTGGTCGGTAGGGATGTTGGTTTGCGGGTAGAGCATCATTTCCCCGGCGTCTGGGCCGCTGACCTGCCGGGAGGCACGATCGCCTTCTACTGTCTGAGCACTGGTCTTGCGCTTGCTCTTAGGTTCGGGCGCAACCACCTGGTTGTCGGAGGCATTGCGCACCTTGGGTGTCTTCTTGGACTTGCGCACATCGATGTCTGGAACTTGTCCATCATCAGATGAGCTGCGACGACGGTGACGGGGGAGTGTCTTGGGCTGAGAATCAGCACTGCTGCTGGAGACCACGGAGCCGCCAAACATGGATGAGACGAAACGTTCCGCACGGGTCTTCTTGGGCTCCTTGGGATCCTTCTCTTTCTTAGACCGCTTGATCGGGGACGCGGGTTCTTCGTAGCGCCGACGGGGCTGCTCTTCACCCTCCACCGATGTAGATCTCAACATCCGGTCCAGTCCACCAGTCAGCCCTGAGTGTTTGATCATGGGCGTACCGGGGTTGTTCCGAACACTGGATGGGGCTTCCATCATGGGAGTGTCGACGAGAGGCGTCGCATCGTCCATGTCGACATCTTCAGTGCGCCGCTTGCGCTTCTTCTCGCTGGTGACCGTGCCGTTTTCCTTGCGGCTGCGGTCCTTCTTTTTCTTGGGGACCGGTGTCACGAACTCCAACGAGGAGTTGGCATTCGAGTACTGAGATTGTGGGAGCGGGTCTGCGCCGTAGGAGTATCCATTCGTTTCGTAACTTTTATCATTGCCAGGAGTTTCCAATTGGGGAGTAGTCTTGCCAGTCTCGAAAATCGGAGGGGCATGATCCACCATCCGCATTTGTCCCTTGGGCTCGGCCAAAGACACTTTGGATGCGTTATTTGGGGTCTTAGGTTGAAGGAAGTCGAATACGTTGACTGGTTTGCCGCCATCAGCCTTGTCGGTGTTGCCCTCGTTCGCAGCTGTAGACTTCTGCTGTTGGGCAGGTGGTGCGCGCCCGTTGGCACTAGGGGAATCGACGTCGGTCACGTCTTCGATATACGGCGCACGGTGTTGCATGCCGTTCGGCTTCTGGTTCTGCTTCGGTTCATTCTTGCCCTTTCGCCCGTTCTTCGTAGGTTTCTCTTTATAGAGCGCGCCCTCGTACTTTTGCGCCTCGGTCATACACGACTGTAGATGTTCAAGTCAGCCTCTGTCGGGGAACAAATCATTATCCATTGCGCAAGTTCATCTCCGTCGATATGGCTCAGCCAAGCGGAATCAACTCAGTTGATCAGATTTTTGTCAGTCGCGTCAGATGTAGTCAAGGTCTAGACTATCGACATGCAACGAGAGAATCACCAAGCCACAGCAGAAGATGAGGCGACACAAACAGACGAATCGCATAAGCATTAAGCAAGGAAGAGGTCTAGCCATACCGTATGCGATCTGTACTCGGTACCCTGGAAATGCACCATGCAATCAATGCAGGTAAACGACGCACCCCGGCATTGATTCCGATGAGGATCAAGCTTCTTCTTGGTGAGGATATCGCCGCAATTCTAGGCAGAAACCGAGGTTAGCGCTATTCCTACTGGGTAACTGTCTCAACTCAAAGGCCCATAACCAACTCACCTCGCATGAAAACGAAACCATCTTGACCCCGCTATAGAATCCACGTATTCAGCGATAATTGAGCTGTCAAGAAAATCCCCGAATTTAGGTCTAGAATCGTGGACGTTCGAGCTTTCAAGGTTCAACCCAGGTCCCGCGATGTAGAAAAAGTCCGATGAAGGTGATGGACAAGCCCCTTCGCCGTGATCAAAATAAACACAGATGCAGTGAGATCGGGCTGAGGGGATCCAATGTAATCGGGCTGCGCAATTCGCTAAACACAAGGCGCAAGAAATCCCTTCAAGACCAGGCTGTCTGAAATCAGAACCTTTTTCTTGTTTTTCTCGATTTGTTTCTTTCTTCTCTTTTGCGCCGGCGCGAAAATCCGGAGCGACTGCGCTAGTCCTGATCGGGGGTATCACGCTAGTCCGAATGAGGTAACCAAATTAAATGTCTATTATGCATGAATATCCAGGAAGAAACTAAAGTAACTAACAAGTCAACGGGCGACGAGAACTTCAAATACCCCTCTCTCCCCATACTCTCACGGCAGATTCTCAGTCAGAACGCCCCCGGGATAATCTCACTCTCATCCTCATGCAGGAGACCGCATAATCCCGTTGGTCAAACCATCAGCCTGGTCTATTTTTGCAACCATTACGGTATACGCTCACGATCCTCCCTTAACCAGCGGCTCGTGATTGGGGCTTGTGCAGCGCAAGTGTCAGGAGACTGCAGTTAGAGGTGGACGAACGAACCAGTTCGCAATGTTGGTGTCGCGCGCGTGGAGGGGCTGTGCGATCTGGTGGTTGAAATGAAACGAGAGGATACGGTACATATGCAACCAGCGGGTTTTGGTTATTATTGCTTCGCTTGTGCTTCGCTTGCCGCGGGAGTCATGCATATCTTAGGACTTTACTACTTGTACAAGTACTTGTTGACGATGCTGTTGGTGAATCGGAGCCATGGCTAGGAAGCGATATGCTGGTCGTGTTCTCTGGCGCTCAAGGAAATATGCACAATTAGTACTATTTTCAGAGCCTTGTAATGGGCATATGATAGTCTACATCACTCAATATGACGCGGTGGACATCCACCAGTGACGATGATGCTTGGAGATTACAGAGTTAACCCAACATCCGGCATCCCTCCTTAGAGATCTTCAGACTCTACACATACAAACATTGAAGTGTTTGTGTGGCAAATGGAAGATGGTCTCAAGACGCATCTTCGGTCATGCGGCCGATGACTAGCTGCAGCATATCGGTCTCGCGAGGTCTCTTATTTGCTGAGTATGTACTTCGCTGGATTCGTATGGGTTTGGGGAGAAAACACTGAAAGTTGAATATGTGTATAATTCCAATTAAATCACAATAAACGCATATGTACAAAATTGGCTCTCAAACCCATCAATGAGAAGATCGGGTCTTTAATCGGGTATCTACAAAGAAAAAGACAAACTGTGAAAGAACCGCTGTATATGAACTTAGCCAATCAACCCCGCGTGGTCCTGCATAGTCTGTCAGTATACAACTGCCAACCACAAACTCAGACCGCAAACGAAGCAAGGGACTCACTCCTCTTTCGAAATTTCGACAAGCGGCATGCCACCTTCGTCATGATGGCCAGTCTGCTGATGCGCACTCTCGCTTTGGCCTTTGTCTGCTCCGTTCTCGCTGTGTTTCTCTCCACTCGCACCCGCTGCCTCCTCGTCGTCCTCGGCGCAACCACAGTCGTAGAAGTCGCCGATCTTATTGCAATCGAATAATGGCTTCTCGAGCATCGCATTGACCTCGTTGTGGATAAAGCAACCCCAGCCCGCGGCGGCATTCCGTGACGAGACTTGTGGCGGATACTTTTGTAGGTGTTGCTGGAAGTGCGAGGCACATTCGCCGCTGAACTCAAGTCAGCATTACACTCTGAAGTCGCAACGGAAATAGGAGTATGTACCATGGATATAATCGCGAGAACAAGTATATAAACGAATGCAGCGTCTCCCGCTGCTCTTGCGTAGGGTGTTCGGGATACCGCGCCAACATCGTGTGGAAGTACTTCCACGTCGCCCGACCTAATTCTGCCCTAGTTTTCCATACCGTTAGTTATCGATCCAGCGAAGGAAATAAAGTATGTCTCACTTCACGGTCTCATTTCCCAGTCGCGACATTACCACTTTCCCTTTCAGCAAGTCATCCTTGACCAGGCTCGACGCCGGCGCGGACTTATCGATATGTCCAGGGGCTCGAATCGCAGGACTTGGAGGCCCTTGGGGTTGGATGAAGAGGACGAAGACGATGAATAGCGCAACCGCGGCGCTTATAAGAACTCGTCGTGTAATCTGCCGGCTCGCCATGGTATTTGGAATCAAAGGGGGAAGATCGAGGGTTGCGAAGGTCAATTGCGGAGGTCACCAGACGAACTGATCAAGAAGCGTCTGGGACCGTTATTATGAGAAAAGAGCGTAGAGTAGCTGCTGGGCTACCTGGCTCCACGGTTGGTTAATCAGGAAGCGGATTAAAGAGCGACAATTGTTGTTTTCTTTGAGCGTGAATAAAGAGTTGCACTGCCGTCCCCTTCGCCATGGCCAAAGACGCCTTATGTTGTGCAAATCCTTATGCCATTGCTTAGTAACCGTATATGAATGTACTCTCATTTTCTCCGCGATCAAGCCCTCATGGACTTCCTCCCGACAGACAATCCCAACCTGAACAATGCCATCCCTTCGAATTCGTCCGTTCCAATCGTTCCTGCGCGGGACAACCCCATTGACGCGATTCTCACAAAGACGATGGGCCCAAATCCACGATGTCCGCTATCTTGCCACACACCACGATCCCAGTCAAGTGTTGGATAAATACCGAGAGAAACTGAACCAGAAGGCCAAGCAGTAAGTATCCTTCATATTATCTTGTTTGTCAGCACAATTGTACTAATCAGGAGTTTAGGGAGGGTCATGAAAACGTCGAGTCGCTGAAAGAAGCCTACAAGGATAAGATCGAAGACCTCCGGCGCAAAGCTTCCACAGTAGCAACCCCAGAGCCCGACACCCCGTCTGCCTCTTCCACCTCACCCTCTGCCGTCCCTCCTCCTCCCCGTCCTCAAGAATCCACCTCTGAGATCAAGAAATCCGAGTCCAGCGGTATCAAGCCCCTCGACTCCTTCATTGATGTGCAGAAGTTCCTCGATCTCCCGCCCAAGGAAATCGAAGGTATCTGGCGACTCCGTCATGCGTCGAATCCCGGCTCCATCTGCGCAGTTATCCCGGTTGAAGCATACCAGCGTATCTCCGCTGCAGCGCGCCAGAACCCGCAGTTCATCCTTCCACTGCCCCGCAATGAGGTCCAGCAAGAAGAACCCGTCAAGAACGGTAAGGGAGAGGAAACTGGTGAGACTCAGTCTACCACCAAGGCTGGCGCAGACATCCACTTCCTCCAATGGGGCTTCCACCCACCTGCTTCGCCGCCGGCAGAGACCGCAACACCTGCTCAGCTTGCGAACGCCCACACATCGACAATTATCTTCACCTCGCTTGCGGCATACAAGTTGCACGGTGCTTACGCCCAGCCTCACACCACTATCACCAACTACCTCGACCTCGCAGAGTCGAAGGGCTTGGTACTCATGCTCGGCCAGGTGATGCCGGATGCTGGTGTGTCGACTTCCGAAGCGAGCTGGCTGGTTAGCTGTGTACAGCGGTTCTACGACTTTGGAGGTCAAGCCAATGAGCGGAAGAGCGAGTTGGTGCGTAGCTTTAACCGTGGTGATACCGAGGTTTTCAAGATTGACCATCTGCTGGAGGAGACGGAGAAGCTATAGATTATTTAGGTGGATTGTATATTGACTACCCTGTACAATAGATATGATTGATCATGGTTTTATCTGATGAATGAATGAATACCCGCTCCTCGCTCTTGCAATAACCATCATTGATATATTGCCCATTTCCAATAACACCAGGAAGTATCCATCGAACAAAAACAACGACCTAAATCGGACTCAAAGTGGGGATTCGGGCAAGCTTTCAACCTCTCAAATACTATAGTCCAAGCGTCGCTCCCTGGGCTGCATCATGCGAAACCATTGATTCCCTTCGATCTGGATCCCAAAAAAAATCCCCCCCCCCCCCCTCCTGTTATAATACAAATTCCCTTTTACGTCTTCATTATTTGCCGTAACCATCGGAGTGACGAAAGGGATACTGGGGCAGATTCAGAGACTGACTTGGGGGTGTCGTTTTCGCTCTGACACAAGGTGATTTCCCATGGCAGCTCTGTAGTATCCAAACAGGCCCTAGATGGCTCGCTGGAGGTCGAGGTCGTCCAGCATCTTCTTTGTAAGCAGCCTACACATGCTGTTGAAGAGGTTGGTGTGTTTAATGTCGATGACCTCCGTAACGTCGCCTTTTGTCAGTTGCCAGTTGCGAAATCACATTGCCAATCTAAAATCGATTTCAAATTGTAACGGCCCGGAAGAACTATTGTCGCTTTCAGGATCACCTTTTGGCTTCTCTTCAATCCTGCTGAGAGCTTGGGCTTCAAGGCGATATCAGTCCATGCTGGCCCGCTTGTGTTTTCCTTTCATCGCACCACGCTCGTAAAATTGCAGTATCTGTTTCACAAGCATCATTATCTGTTTGCTTGTCAGCCATCTTCAATGGCAAGGAATATTGCTAAATCTATTAGCTGGTTCAATACTTACTGTCCATGATGGTCACCGTGTCTATAAGCGTATCTAATCCGGAAAAATCTCACCATAACAGCTGTCCATCTCGCTTTCTCGCTTTCATTCAACAATTCTTCATTTGCTTCCGACTCACTGGTATAGGCCATCGATTCCCTCTAAGCCATTATGGAATTCTGCTGACACGCCATCAAATCAAATGTGGCGTGAGGAAATGACGGCGTCTTAATAAAGGCCAACACTCATGTTCATAAACATGAGGTGATGCTAATTGCCCCTGATACACCTGGTGAACTGGACAAGCCTCACTCCACTTCTTTTTGCAACCCGTGGGAGAAGTGATTAAGGCTGTCTTCCAACAATTTGCGTCATCATCATATCAAATAATTCCTGTACCATGACATGTAGACTTCATGTATGAGACCGATCATAGCCGATAAGGCAATAATAGCAGGTTCCCTAGGGGCGTTTCTCGATGTTCGAGTCGACTCTCCATAGTCATAGGCGTTGTGATCAAAGCCTCATGATGCACTGATAGGAATATCTTCATTCAATGCTGGTTAGCCCGAAGAACCTTTTCATCTCAAGTAGTAGACAGTACCATTGTTAGTGGCGAAGCTCGTTTTATCTGTATCTACCTTAGCTAGGTCAAAGGCTCTAGAGTTCAAATCCTCATTCGTTCCTCTTCCTCGTTAGTGAGTAACAAAAGAAGGTTGAGGTAGCGAGCTCTGCGTCACTTCTTCACGTTGGAGCTTCTGGTACATGTCGACCACCAGACGGGCGTATACCTTCTTCTTTCTGCATCGGCTTGTTACTTCTCTAACAGCGCATGGCATTCCTGGGTCTAAGTCGATCTTATCATCATCCGGCATATTTTCGTTATGTCGATTATTATCCCCAGGATATCTGGAGATGCTCAAAGTACTGAAGGAGTTGCCGTTGCAGATAAGCCCTTATAGATGGCGGTTTCGTCAGAGGTTGCTTTTAGCAATTGGATGACATTCCGCACGCGCTCATAAGTTATTAGCAAGAGTGCAAGTTATCCACACTGCCAGGTGATTTTTGCAGGCTGCCACTTTGAGTGATAACCACGCGTGCGAGATAAATAACCAAGGAACTTGTGTCCACTTTCTCCGTATAAAATACGTCGGAGCCAGCTTGAATAGACTCTGCATCCCTTTGAGTATGCCATGCATCTTTATATAGCTTATCTTGGTCAGCAACTGGTGGCCTTCTTATAGGAGTCTGCTCACCTGGCTCCAGTCCTCGTTAAAGTAGGCCAATGTCTGGAGTATCCCGGTTTCCGTACATCACGCTAAATCCGTGTGTTTTGGAACGATTGTCCTTGCTTGAGTACAGCTGCGGCAATTTGTGTACAAATCAGCATTAAAGCTTACTGTACTTCAGCCACCAGCTATTCTATTAGGCCCTTTGACTGGAAGAAGAAAAAACCCCTCATGTGAGTTTCATGTCCCGCATGTATAGGGCCAGCTGGGCTAGATATTCCTGTTTCTTGTTAGAGTTTTGGGAAACGACACAAGTATAGGAAGTGCTCGCGATTGAATTCAGTGAGTGCGAGAAAAGAATTTATGGCAATGACACGCCCCCACAAAGTACCCACGCTGTGTTAAGCCATAAGCCGTCTATTCAAGACTCATGTTGAGCTTGCATCTTGTATCATTTTCTAGCATTGCATGCTGTTCTGCGAGACATACTGTAGTCATGATGTGGCCGACCCTCTCCTGGGTTCATTTCTGAATCCCGCATTCATCGTTGGTCCTTATTGTTTGAGGTCCACTTAATAGAAGTAATAGCTTTTGTGAAACCTGATGACATGCAGCTATGATTCCAATGCTTCGCAAGCGTTGATCTGCCAGGCTGGTTGCAGCGAAGGCCGTTTGTTATTGCTGACCGACCGGGAAAGGCCGCCAAATCTCCAAGCTCATGTGCACGCTTCGCGATGATAGCCACAGCTAACGGCGTACTGATTCCACATTCTGAATGGTACCTTCATACAAGAACTCGGCCTCTGGTGAGCATCAATGCCACTTATATGGCTGTCTGTCGAATAGGTAACTCGGGGGCAATTTCTTTTGACACTCAACGAAGCTTTGGTAACGCTCTCTTGGTATGCTGAGGAGTCAAGAAACAGTAAGTATTGAAATATTTGGAATAAACACCGAAGTATACTTATGAAATCAGCCCGCATGTGCTGTTTTATATATAACGGAGTATCTGCTACATGATGGTAGCTCAATTAATTGAACATATCAGAGGATCCTTCACGCTGAAGCATGAAGGCATGTGATCGAGTTCAAGGCAAGGGACCCAGTCCGGCTTCTATGACCAGGGCTGACCATCCCTATTTCAATAGCTCTGCTTTCCTGTTCGTGGCTCTAGTTTTAATGAAACGTTAGTGTGTTGGGCCCATTGCACAGATTTTGTTGAGGATATGGCTCTGATCTATAGCAACATTCATGTCAGTGTTAAACGTCATGGTATTGAAAAATAGGAACACTTATCATAGACCTCGCCCAGACCCTCATGAGGGTCCAAAGGTTGGACCCTCCACCCGACCCTCGCGAGGGGCGGGTATAACACTCGCGACCCTCACCCGACCCTCGACCCTCGCCAGACCTCGTGTGGGTGACCCTCAAGGACCCTCGTCGACCCTCATTTTCATAAAAATTCCCACGCTTTACCCGATTTGGATGCATAAAAATGATGATTAATCTTAATACAGACCTGTTATTTACACCGTAACACATTACTCCTGTTCTGCTACTTCGGATGATAGGTATTGTATGAGCCCTAGAATCAATTCACATAATAGCTTCCTACAAAATCTCTCTGATTTATATTACTTCTGATCAAAATTTTTAAGATTATATTAATTATAAGTGATAATATGTAAGTTACCATTACATAGTCAATATACATTAGTCCTTGGATATAGTATTATGATAGCTAGTTCCTGTAGAAGGAATGTACTCGATGAACATCTAAACTAGGAAAAAGAGAAGAGGACATTACTTCATTCAAAGGTATTTATCTTGAAGAGCCACGTGAAGGTATAAATAATGCAAAGTAAACAAATAGCTTCCTGAGTGATTCTGCCGAAAAGGGTGAACTATGAAAGCTGTTGAAAACCATGCACATAGCGCCGATGAAAATATATATATTTAACAGATGTATTCACGAGCGGCTATTGGAATATTTTTTGGAAGGATATCTTTGAAGTTACAGGTCAGCTTCAGTGATTTATGGCCCATTCACCTCTCTTGCCACTAAATCCTTACTTTTACCCTTTGAATAATACCAAATATACTAGTTCTTGGATGGCCAAATTAAGTAATTTTGACCGCTAAGTATTGGCCTCCTGCGGCTCTTCAGCATGTGAGGGTCCTTAGGGTCACCTGTGTGGGTGACCCTCCCCACCCTTAGGATTAAGAGAGATTAGGAGATACTACATGAGATATGGAATACTACGTGAGATACAGGATACTATGTGGGTCATATTATGATTTATCCACTCAAGATCTCCAGCTCCCTAAGTCGCTTGCGTCATGAACTTGGGCTAGTGGAGAATAATGAATTGATATTCCTATTTAAACTAGTGTTTTACGAGAATATCGAATCTGGAGAGGAAGGAAGTAAGAAGGGGAATCTATCTATGGAATGAGGGGCTTTTATCCATTCTATGGATTCATGGCCGCTTGCAGCATATGGCCGCTTCTAGCACAATGGTATGGCCACATTCAGCCATTACAACTTGGTTCTTGTGTCCCCTAGTCATTGCAAATTCTACTGACTATTATACTGGATCTTTTTTTTGTAAGTCTCTTACTCTCTAGTCCCTCCCCCCTTCCTAGTCCCTCCCTTACACCCACCTATATTCTGTACTATGTCCCGGCATTTCTCCAACCCTCCATCCTCCTCAGCTTGTGAGGGGGATACTTCAGATTCTTTTTACTCTCATTTTCCTAACAACTCGCAGCTATATACACCTGAGTCCTCAGGAAGCCAAGATGCCATAGTGGCCAACTCAGACATCTCTGAAACTCTGCTTTCGCCTCCTCCTATCCCTAGCTTTCTTCACCGTGTGGGCCCTGATCAAAACCAAGGATATGTTCTCTACACTCACAAATACAACGAAATGGAACGGGATGCCTTTGTAGCTTGGTGGCTCGGGACAGATTATGGGACGAAAAAGCGAATTAATTGGGATACAAGACATCAGTC